CTTCTGGTGTACCTTGTTGTTCTTGCTTCACCTTCCTTTTATGTTTTAAATTCATTCTTTATCTTCTTTCCCCTTTTGATCCAGTCACATGAATAACAATTCAATTAGTGGACAAATCCCTCCACAGCTTGGCAGATTACCATGCCTTGTTCACTTGTAAGTTTGTCATTATCTGCAACTCAGCTTCCTTCTAAATCCAAGGTTTCTAAGGCTCCATTCATTTTCTCTTCTGCAGGCTTCTTGACAATAACAACTTATCAGGGTATCTTCCAGCAGAGCTTGCCCAATTGCCACATATAGGCATCCTGTATGTTTTCTTTCTTCACTAGTTCCCTGAAAATATTTTGACATGAACTTATGCTTCTAAGTCATTTGTTCTGATTGTCATGAGATACCAAAATGGAAATGTATAATGATAGTGAAAGCTGTTGTATATTTTTGAGCCCAAGGAGAAGAATAATAGGATAGAGCTGCAGTATATATACAATGGACTATAAAGAACACTTATGTCATTAATAAAGTCTGAAATCTTTACATTTGTTCCACATATTATGTTTTTTGATAATTTTTTTTGTGGGGTATTCTCAGTTGTTACTTCTAAATGCCTTTACATTTCATTTTTGAATATATAATCTTCTTTGAGTTCCCTGAGAGATTCCATTTCTACCTTTTCAGTCAACTTGATAACAACCACTTTGATGATGGGACCACTATTCCAGAATCGTATGGAAGCATTCCCAAATTATATAAGTTGTAAGTGCTTGCTGTAATCCTATGCTGTTAAGTAGATTTAGAAGGTAGAGGTAAGGAGCTAGGTGTTAGCATCTTATTGCTGATATTTTATATGAAATACATGACCACATTTGAAAGGAAGAAAGCGTGGTAATCTGTTGTTTATGAAATAGAAAACTAAAATTATACGCAAAACATTGGTTCATAAATAACTGAATACAAAACCATGAAATTTTTCTGAAGCAATATTTAATTGGCAAGAGAAACTGATAAAACTTAGAAAGATGATTTTCAGAGGGAAATTTTGTTTGCTTACATGACTAGGATGAGATGGAATTATTAAAACCATGAAGTCCCATGCTTATGCCAAGATAGAAATATATTTTATGCACCTATCTCAAGTCTCATATGTTATGGACCTCAAATACTGTACTCTTGAGAAGCTAAACAACACAGCCTACCCTAATAATTTTTGCTTTTGTTTTTCTTTTTTTTTTTCTTCTTTTTTTTTTACTGAAGATGATTATTTGGAAGCATGGGCTTGAAGGTTTGCAGAAATTTGTTATGCTGAAACTCTTTGTTGCTTTATCAGGAGTCTCAGGAATTGCAACTTGCAAGGATCAATCCCCGACGTAAGCAGGATGCGCAGCCTTAATTATCTGTAAGTTTAAATGTTTATTCTTTATATATCATTTATGATGGAATGGTTTTCCGTTAGAGAATTAAATTTAAATGTAACTGCTATATCTTCTTTTCATGATTTTGGCTAAATAAACTTCAGGGACCTGAGTTCAAACCATCTAAGTGGACCCATTCCTACTAGCCCGATTTCAAAGAAGATCACAACCATGTAAGATTCTCTCTCTTTCAATCTACAATCTTTTTTTTGTTTTGCTTCCTTTTAAGATTTTGTGAATACTTTAGATTACCATACTAGTGATTTCCTTCAATTTTGATATTTATGGTCTGGCTATATGTGCAGCAATCTATCCAACAATGAGCTTAATGGAACTATTCCTGCCAGCTTTTCGGGTCTACCTGCTCTCCATAATCTGTGAGCATTTCCTGCTTGGTCTCCTCTAATTTGTTTCTTGTCTTTGTGAACACTACAAATTAAGTTAGTAGCTAATGGCATCACGGTATATTTAACTGGGTAATTAACTAAATGGATTTAAAAGTGTTAGATAATCCTCTTGGCAGGTCACTTGCAAATAATTCATTGAATGGCTCGATTCCATTCTCCATTTGGCAGAACAGGACTCAAAATGCATCAGAGATTCTTACAGTGTAAGTCCTGAAAAGATTTAAGTTAATATTTCCCTTGGCTAAAAGTGAATTTCTGTGTGTGCATAAGTGAGCATGTTTTTCATTATTTAGACTCTGAACCCTACATCACATTTCATATTTTTCAACTTTAGCACCCTCATGTATTTTCACTTGAGATCAATAGTGTAA